CTATCGGCGCTGCGGCCCGAACCGGGCGGGGTCCCCCTGCACTCGCCCTGGACCTTCTGGCTCGACAGGTGAGGGGTCGCGGGGCCCGCCGCGTTCGACTCCAGCCTGGGCCCCGCTGTAGCCGCCGTGCGCCCGCCGGGCTGGCGCGGACGCTTTGTCTTGGCGCGAACCCGCGTCGGTGCTCCCTAGTTCCCGGTCCCCCACGCTCGCGCCGGCGCCGCGACCCAGCCGCGCGGGTGCTCAGACCCGGGCCCCGCAGCCCTGTAGTGGCGCCCGCGCGTTCTGGTGCTGGTGGAGAGTCGGCTCGGAAGCCGAGGTTTGGGCCGGGGCGTGCGGCTGTTGGGTCACTTGGCCTCTCAGGCCGGAGCGGAGAGGCGCTGCCCCTAAAGTTTCTACAGCGCTTTCCCCTTTTTCCCTTCCGTGGGAGCTGCCTGCGGGGGGCGACCTGGCTGGGCGGTGGGAGGCGGCGGGGAATCGGAGAAGCCGGGCCCTTGTTTAAGGTCTGGAGTGATGCCGCCCTGGTTACCCCGAAGGACTCTTGAGGCGCTCTGGACGCGACCTTTGCTCTGATGGCGCTTGGAAAGTTAAGCCAGCCCCCAGGGAAGTGGTGGTGGTATTTGGTGCCCAGTGACGCCTCCATCCCCAGCCGTGGCCTAAACTGCCGGGGATGCCTCGAAATCTCTCTCCTCTGAGCAGGTAGTTGGTGAACACTTACAGCAGGGCTACGAACCTGCCCAGCGCTGGGGGCTCAGTGCCGGCATTCTCTCACCTCTTCAAGTAGAAAAGGGACTTCGTAGCATTCAAGCCCGCAGCTCGGTGCTGCAGCTCAGAAAGCCCTTCCTGAGTACTTGGTCTCTGGATTAGCACCTCTCACCCTCCAGTGTCTGTTCTCCTGCCCGCTCTTGTTTTCTTCCTAAGGCTTAATGCTGCTGCTTTTTAGTATGTATGAATTTTTATTTTCATTTTGTTGCTCAGTCCCTCAACATTGCCTTCTGTTATGCACTAAAGAGCACAGTCTATTTGACATTCTTTCTCCAGGATCTCTAACAGTGCCTGGGACATCGGAGGAGACAGGCAAATTTTGACAAGATCATTTCATCAACGAAAGCAAAGCCTTTAGTACCTACCGCACAGTGGGTTCCCAACGGTCACAGCTACAGTTGTCCCCAAAACTTTGGGAAAGTTAGATGATCCTGAAATGTAGGTGGCAGATTTTTGTGAAGTGTAATTAACATAAATCTGATATAAAAGACCCTGCATAAAGTGCTTGCAAGATATTTTTAAAGTAATAATCCCCCCCCCTTTTTTTTTCTTTTAAGGAGAGCTCATGCCTTTTCTCCTGTTGGAAAAAAAAAAAAAAAGAAAAGCACCCATCTATAAGTATTCACATTTGGAGCCATTGTTTTTTCTGGGGGCCCAAAGAAGGTAGGGGTAGGGAAAATACAGCGAATCTCCTTTTTTGAAACATTTTCACTTTCGTTATGGGACGAGAACACTTACTGTCATCATGAGAAGTCTTGGCATACTTCTCCAAAATGAAATCAGAGTCACTATTTTCAAAGGCATGTTGTGGCTATCTGTATCTGTTTTCAAGGTGTTAAATTTGGACCTGTGATCTAAATTGTAGCTTTGGTACTTTTGAATGGCAGAAATGATATCCCAAAAGTTTCTTATAAAAAAATACAAAATTAATCTTGGTGTCAGCACATTTTAAGAATGCTTTAAGATACTAGCACTAGATAACAAACACTGCTTTTAAAAAATATCTAGTACCTTACAAGATATTAGACTGTAACAACTTTAGTGAAGATTCAAATGGTTTTTTTCCTCCTAAGTGTTTATTCTTCTGGAAATTAGTAAGCAAATGACCCATTATTACCCCACTTGTAAACTTGTAATAGAAATGGCTATATCAATTCAGAAATTGTAATCAGTTATATATTGCACATATGAATTTATTTTGTCTGATCAGTCATCCCATAGCTTTTATTAAACTTTGTCCAGTTTTCTGGGGGTCTGTTGCATTTATGTAGGCTCTCTCCCACGGATTGGATTTATGAGCACATTGTATCCTAGAGGTTAATTTGTAACTCTTCCTTCTCAGAAACAAGATTCTAGAGACAGTGGTAAGGTTTTCCCCAGAGCCCCCTAGGCAGCCTTCACCCCAGAGAAAGTAGTTTGGCATCCCATAGCATCTTTAGGTTTCCTCTACTAAGGTTCTCCTTTCCACATACCTCCTAATCTATCTTACCTTTCCCTTTATTTTCATTGTCCATAAGATGGGGATTACCATAGGATTTATCTCAGGGTTCTGAGGATGGTGCCTGGTGTACCGTAAGTGCCTAATAAATGTTCAATTTAAATATGGTTATTTGATCTCTCAGACTACCGCACCCTCTCCCCTGTACATATCCCATCACCAAGCCTTGGAATAGCTTTTCAGAATTCAGTGGTAGGTAGCCAGCCTCCCAAGTTCATCGCCCTCCACCCACTCTGATGAATGGAGAGCCTCTCAGCAGAGTTATTTACATTTTCAAGAGTAAATGCCAATAGATTCTTACTTACTTAAAAAAAATAATAATAATTAGAGCCCTCCCTGGTGGTACAACGGGTTAGGACACAGCACTGCAAGCTGGCTGCAGCTGCCTCAGTGCAAGTTTGATCCCCAGCCCTGAAGGTGAACCACATGGCACTTCAGACTTCTCCTGACCCGCCTCGCTGCTCACCTCAGCAGTGTACCTCATCCATCTGCCTGTTCTGCTCTCCACTCTGTCTCTGGTGAATCCTCTCACCACCCCTACACCTCTCGCCTATACTTCAGTTCTGTATGTATAAATAAAAAAATCTTTAAAAAAAATTAGATTGTATGACTAAGCATTTAAGTGCAGGGCTAATTTTAGTTGGGGGTATAGGTTGAAATTTTTTTCTGGTCTTCCCTAGACAATTTTAAAAAAGCTTGCCCTTGAGTTGTGATTCTTGGAGGCCACTCTTGGTTGTGTGTCTCTACTTTGTTTTCATCGGAACCCCTTTCTTCTGAGTGCTACCTTGGGGCCTCCTCTCGTCCCCATACACACTAGTGGTCTCATCTGGTCACAGGCTTTCAGTGCCTTATTTGCTTAATTCCCAAAACTTTACACTTACTCTTCCAGCTCCTCTTATCTGTCTCCACATGGATGTCGAATACACATCTAAGCTTAATGGTGCCAATATCCTGAACTTTCTGCTTAAATTTACCTCCTTCTGCCTGTTCCATCTCAGATAAGAGCCTTTAACAACTTCATCTTTCCAGTTGCTCAGCCCGAAAAATCTTGGAGTTGTATGGAAGCCTCCTCTCTCCTCCTCCTGCTGCTTCCTTCCTCCCCACTCCTGCCCCCCACCTCATCTTCCCTCTTATCCCCCTCCTCCAGTGTCTGTCCTCCAGCTTCTCTTCCTCATTCCCCTCCTCCCTTTCATCTCTTTATCTCTTTTCCTGTTTCCTTCTCCTCCTCTCTACATCCATTACCAACAAATTCTGTTGAGTAGATCGGCACAGTGTGTGCCCAGAATCCAGTTCAGCCTCCCACCTGCATCCTCAGCTTGGGCTGCACCCCCTCTCACCTGATACATCTCCATGCTCTCCCGTTGCCTACTACAGTTCTTGCCTGTCACAGCATCCAGTGTAGTCTCTGTAGTACCTAAAGAAGAGCACACTACTTATCTGCTCCCCATTTTACTCAGAACAAAAGCCTAACTGCTTGCAGTAGCCCAGAAGACTGTGGTTTATCCTGCCCTGGTCAGAACACTAGTGCTCTGTCTCCCTGTCACTCTCCCTCCTGCCCAGGCCTTTCTGCTCTTTGACACCATTGCTCGCTCTCCATCATCCCAGCCTAGGTCTTTGCCACCAGTCATTGCTCCTGCTCTTTCTGCAACCGCCTGTACTTTCCTCTCCATCCAGTCCCTGCTCCAGTGACACCTTCTCAGCAGGGTTTCCTGACAGCAAATAGGCATGTCATACACATTGCTGAAATGCAAGCTTTACAAGGGAAGGGCTCTGTTGGCCACTGCCCTGCCCTTAGATCCCAGGTCAGAGCTTAGTACTCGTCAGGCCTCAGTAAATCCTTCCTACCACCCAGGGGTGATTCCTTGTGCAGATCGTACACCTTAGAGGCACAGTTGGGATTTCCACTATACTTCACCCAAAGCAACTCTGAATTTATTGTTTGTTTTTAGAAATAGGCCACTTTAATTTGGGGGAAAAGCATCCCCTGGCTTTAAAAACAGGTGAAAACTGCGGATTTACAGATGCTGGTACAATCTCTTTATAACTCTTTTTTTTAAAAAAATATTTATTTATTTATTTATTTTTATTTGTGCATACAGAACTGGGGTACAGGCCAGAGGTGCAGGGGCGGTGAGAGGATTCACCAGAGACAGAGTGGGGAGCAGAACAGTCAGATCGACGAAGTACACTGCTGAGGGGAGCAGTGGGCAGGTCAGGAGAGGTCTGCCACTGGCCATGTGGATCACCTCCGGGGCAGGCAGGGATTGAACTCATGTAGGGAAGTGGCTATAGATTCTTAGTGCTGCATTTTAACCTGCTGCGCCACCAGGGAGGGCCCTCTTTATTACTCTTTTAAACATGAAGCCCTATCCCTTTCTCCTCCCCAACACCTAAATACCACTCAATCTGACCATTCTTTCCAGTAACAGCAGAATAATGGCCCTATTTCTGGCAGACCATGGACTTGCTTGTATCTGAGATTTATCTCGTGGTGTTCCTTCTGCTAGGATGCCCTTTTCCAGTTAGTCTACCTGTAGAGATGCCAGGTATCCATCTTCAAGCCTTTCTGAGATGCCAACTCTTTGTAATTTTCCTTAAATAACCCTTGACCCAGGTAGGACTGAGCCCACGCCTTTCTGCTCCCCAGCATTATTTTGTAGATTTGTGTCATGGATCTTTGATTCCTTTGCTTGTCCCTCCTGCTTGGCCATAGGACTCCAACTGCCTTGTTCTGTGTCCCTGCAGTTCCTCATAGTGGCAACCTAGTGCCAGCCAGCGATTGCTTCTCAAAGTATGGGCGTTGCTACTTAAAGCTGAATCACCTGGCTGCGCTTGTTAAAATCCAGTCTCCAGCCCTCCAAAGGACAGTAAGACCTCTGGGGGTTCGAATGTGGGCTTGTAACAACCACCTTTGAGATCAATATTTGAAACTTAGTGCTCTGTTACCAATCAGCTCAACTGAGCTTATTAGTTGCTATTCATTGTTCTAGATGCTGAGAATACAAAGAGGAGGACATCATAGGCCCGGGACTCCAAGGGGTAGGCTTCAAAAACTGTCTTTGAAGAGTTCTGAGAGATACTGAGTTCTCGGGGGATCTACCTTTTAGGGTGGGGTGCCATCCAATGCATTCTAATGGTGTGCTCTGTATTACAATTCTAATATGCAGAGGTAGAGTCAGGCTTGTCAAAGGGGATCTAAGAATCATCCTTGTTTATAGAGTGACCTCCTGGGCCTTGGGAGGGGTTGCATGAAAGGTCATAGTGTGCATGGAGAAGAGTTGCTGTCTCCTCGACTTTTCCTACTGTTTTCTCATTCCTGTTCTTCTGAACACAGTTTCTCTTACTGGCCCAGAATTTCATTTTCTTTCAGGGTCTCTGGG